CCATCACCTTGATTTTATGACTTTATGACTTTACCCCCTAGGGACATACAGTTACTTCCTTAACAAAGAAAGCTGTACATCTGGTGACAAGAAGATTTAATTTTTTTTTTTTTTTTTATAAAAAGTGGAACATTTTCTCATTTAATAGTTTTTTAAACCCACATCTGTATTACAGAGATAATATTTTGGACCAAGTTTCCCAAAGGATTGTAAATCATCATAACTGGTAAAAATAAATAAATAAATATAAATAAAAATACCACTCTCTCTACCACCAAACCAGTTTTATTTTCTCCCAACATTTTCCCCTTTCTTCCTCCTATTAGTCTTTTTTCTGACTGTCTAAAAACGTGGCACTTACATTATCATAAAGAAGAAGAAAGCCTTTATTTGTCACATATACATTAAAGTACAGCCAGATTCTTCTCTTCACATATCCCAGCTTCTTAGGAATTGGGGTCTGAGCACAGTGCCGCGGAACAGAGAGGGTTAGGGGCCTTACTTCAGGGCGTGACAGTGGCAGCTTGGTAGCGCTGGGGCTTGAACACATGACCTTCTGAACAGTAACTGAGTGTCTTAGCCACTGAGCTGCCACTGCAGCAAAAGCATACCTGTGTTTCTGCCCGGTTTCAAACCGGAGACCTTTTCCGTGTGAGGCAGACATGATAACCACTACGCTCTTTTGGACAACTCTGTCATTTTGCCTCAGTTGTGATTATAGTAGTAAATAATGACTGGCATTTGTGAATCTGAACAAATAATCTATGTTTGTTCCTGCTGCATTCTCTAAATCTGCTATTTTCTCAATTCTGCGCACACACCTACCATCAGGAGCATGGGCAATGGTTTTGGAAATCAATTTTCATTAAGGAAGAAAACATGATTACATTGTTTACAACTATTGATATTTATTGTGACAGAATATCCAGGAAGCAAGTTAGTTCCTATTTTCACTTAGGTTATAGAAGTTATAAACAGTTGCTCCTTCACCAGCTTCTCTTTTTTCTCCCTCTTGAAGATAAGACAAAAAAAAAATGCAGCTCGTCATGTTACAGAGAAACTGCAAATTCTTCTATTCTAAAGAAGCTTTAAATAAGCTTCATACAGGTTAAATAAGCGTCTCCGGACAGAAAACTTCACCATATCAAGTATTGTCAGGCCTGCTGTTATAGAAGAAAATCAATCACCTTCTGACCAATCAGATTTGAGAATTCAACAGTGCTGTGGGATATGTCAATTTATGTCAACATTTATACGAACGTCAAATATCCTGTGGGCTTTAATTAAATTATAAAGTTGTTTTGCTATAAATCGGAAGAAATGACCTGGACGAAGGAGATTTTATTCTTACCGTTATGTTTCTGAAGAGACTTTTTGATCCTGACTTTGTTTGCTTCATTTCAGCTATGTAAATGTGCTCACAGGTTTACACAGGAAAAGCTTAACTTAGCCCAACTGCATTTCCAGACTTTTCAGGAAAACCCAAATAAAATGAAGCTACGTCAAGAATGTAAACAAATTATTAGGTACATCTTAAAAACAGCTGCGCCTTCAGTCTTGTTTTGAGGTATACATTCCAAGCTAATAGAAATCAGCAGCTAACATCCAACTGCACCTAATACGACCCTATACCTGAACGTATCTCTTCATTAAACACATTACACGTAAGCAGAGCTAGCTCTAGGGTGGGATGGCTAATATGGCAAAATATCCTGTCTTTATACTTAAAGACGTTTTTATGCTTGGCTATTTTGGAGTTTTGTTGCTTCGTGGTTTTTCAATGAATAGGGTAAAGTTTTTTCTGTTTTTTTTATTATTTTTTTAAATAATGCGTCTAATCAGAACATGTTACCAGTTTCCAATGATTGGGTCTCTCCACATTTCTTTAAAAAAAAACAAATAGATTTGATGCATCTTCTGGGGTGATTTCTTTTTCCTGTTTTCGTTCTCTCACACTGTCTTCTTTCATTCTTTGCCCATGCTGTTCTGTTCTGTTCTGTGCCATGGCAACATCGCGCCTACTCAAACGCCTGCTTAACAAACAAATGAGAAACTCTCTAACGTTTACACAGAATGGTGTGGAAAAACAAAAAGCACCGAGTAAGCGGCGGTTCTGCAGACGGAAATGCCTTGCCGATGAGAGAGGTCTGAGGAGAATGGCCAGACTGGTCTGAGCTGACAGGAATGATAGGCTAAATCAAATAATCACTCTTTACAGCTGTGGTGAGCAGAAAAGCATCTCAGAAAGTACAGCATGCAGAACCTTGAGGCAGATGGGCCACAACAGGAGAAGACCATATCAGGTTCCACTCCTGTCAGCCAAGAACAGGCACACTGTAAACTGAACAGCCTGTGCCCACTGTAGCCTCAGGTTCCCGAGGTTCCCATCCAAAAGCTGTTATTAGTAGTATGCATCAATATCAATATATTTTTAGTTTACAGGAATGTTTTACTGGAAAAAATATAGTTAGATGAACTGCTATGATGACAGATACACTGATACAAAAATGTCTCTTTTTTTTCACAGATCTTTCTGCAGCCGTGCAGAAGTTTTCACAGTCCCTTCAGGATTTTCAGTTTGAATGCATCGGCGACGCAGAAACCGATGATGAGATTAACATTGGTAAGTGACTAACCACCAATTTGCGTGGGATTTCACCCAGTTCTCGTAGCAGGATGATCTGTATGACTTTCCAACATGGAGATTAATCACTTAATCAGATGATCCTGAAAGCAGTATACATGTGATATTTATCACAATTTCCATACTGAAACCGCCCACATTGAAAAACGGTACTCTTGTGGCAAAATCCCCAGTGTTAACCAGGGCTACAGTGTTCATTTCCAACCAGCTGGACTTAAAGTGACCGTGTAGGTGCTAATTCAATTCGAGGTCCTGCAAATAGCGTGAACACTTAATTAAACTGTATAAGTGTCAGCTGAGCTCCGAGGGATTTTACTGTGGTCGCTGCTGTTACTTCATTTCCATGTTCTCATTCTGAGCCACACAGCTGTCGCAAGTCGCAGCCCCGCTCTGTCTGGCACACATCTGAAAACAATCCTGCCCATTGGCGCTGCCGCTCGCACCACCACGCACCAATCTCAGCATTATTCTGCGCTAAACAGTGATGTCTTTTCATCCCACAGGGACAGCACGTTGCCTACAGTTTAATATCCAGGAGGTGATGAAGTGTAAAATTTAATCAAAGCACTTCTCCTTTACCATGCAGCAGTGAAGGGCACAAACTGACAATCTGTTTAACAAGGATAGTCAGAGAGTCTTAGCCAAAATATAGGGCCGGTTAAAACAAACAGGCAGGTACTAGATAGACATATCAGTATAGAAAAAATGTAAAAGGCTTACTCTTGTATTCACAAAGATTTGTACAGCTCAAATTTGAGTTCTTGAGCTGTAAAATTAGTGTTTCTCAGTATGGAGCAATCCATGGAAGCTTGATTAGAGAATAATCCATCGAAGTTTGATTAGCAAATAACGAATAAGTGTAATTACAGTGTCATTTTTGACTTACAGAGTTTGTATTAGGAATTTACCAATACATCCGAGGAAAATATTAATATTGTCAGTATTTTTGTTTTGTTACTATGGTCACTGGACCTTTACACTGTCAAGAATTAACAGCTAACTGAATTACAAGCCTCATTCCTGGCAAAATAACAGTGAAGAGTTGTCCGTACATTCGTTGTCCACATTTCCCAGTTGCCTAGCAACTGTGAACGCCAAGTGTATAATGTATTTGTCTTCTTATGTTGAAAGAAAAAAGAAATCACAAGTTTTGTGTGAACCTTACAAACAAGGAGAAAAAACTGCAGCATATACAATATAATGAAGCTGAAAACAAGCAACCAGTGACCAAAAAGAGTGTGTTAGCATGGGTGGGTTGATGCTGTTGAATTCTTGTTTCTGATTGGTCAGAAGGTGTTGTTATTAACAGCAGCTCTGACAGTAGTTCTGGCTGCAGATCACAGGTTTCTATTTATGCACTCGCTCTAATACATAATCATTTCTGTAGTAACAACATACACAGGGTTGCACTGCTGTGAGGTTTTCTGTGACATTTATTTAACATTTTTTGGAAGGAGTCTCCAGTGTCAGTGCTTTTGGTAAAGCTGTTCCTTAAAGTTTTCTGATGCAAAAAAAAACAAAACTTAAATCTTACCTTAAAGAGAGTTCTGCAACGCTAAACGTAACTGTAAATGCATAAAAAGTATAATGTGTCATGCCTTAATTAATAAAAATTGTTCTTGCTGTGGTATAAGAGCAATAAAACGCTTGAGACATGCTGTTATAGAAAAATAATCAACTTCGGGGTGATAAGAGTAACCGCCCTTCACATCGAGCCACGTCACACCATCCTGTCATTGATTATTTTCTGATAACAGCAAACCCCGTCAGTGTAAATAAAAAGTGCGCCTGTAATAACACCATCTGGCATCTTAGACCGTTAATTTATTCAAGAGTGAATGAAGTACATATATTTACAATCCCAAACATGCCATGGCCATATGGGGCTGTACTGACTGTTTATTAATGCATTTATTTGCTAGCTAATCAGTTGAGAGCAAAAGAAAACATTTAACATAATCTTTATTTTAATCTTTATTTTATGGTAATGTGTTTCATTACCCTGAATTTCAACACATTTCCGTGTATGAGGACCGAAAACTAGTTTACACCAAACGCAATTCTAATGTAAATCTAGGGGTAGTTGTTGAATTCTACCGTTAAATTACAAAACTACTCCAGTTACACACTAACAGTAATGGTGTTAGGATGAAACAAACATGAGAGAAGCTGTTCTTATGGAATTTCATTCAACTTTCTCAGTAAAAAGTAGTTCTGGGTGTATATGCTTTATCTAAGCTTTACACTAAGGCGTAAGTTGTTATGGTGGATGAGATGGCAGTTCATTGCAGGGCATTTTTAGGGTTCGTTTACACTTGGCTTTTTTTTTTTCCCACTCATATGATGCTCACAGGGGGGCACGGTGGCTTAGTGGTTAGTCTCACACCTCCGGGGTTGGGGGTTCGATTCCCGCCTCTGCCCTGTGTGTGTGTGGAGTTTGCATGTTCTCCCCGTGCTTCGGGGGTTTCTTCCGGGTACTCCGGTTTCCTCCCCCGGTCCAAACACGTGTTGTAGGCTGTTTGGCGTTTCCAAGTTGTCCGTAGTGTGTGACTGGTGTGTGAGTGTGATTGTGCCCTGCGATGGGTTGGCACCCCGTCCAGGGTGTCCCCCATCTTGTGCCCTGTGTTCCCTGGGATAGGCTCGAGGCTCCCCGCGACCCTGTGTAGGATAAGCGGTACAGAAGACGGATGGATGGATGGATGGATGGATAGATGGATGATGCTCACACTATTAACATAACAATGCTCTTCATGTTAGCTAATGCTCTTCCAGTCCTAGCTAATATCAGCCTATTAGTTACGTTGCAAGGTTTGAATATTGGCAGCGAAATCTTTTTGTCATGTATATCATTACATTTGCTCACTAAGAAGACAGATTTTTCAGCATCACTCAGTCATCCATGTTTATTTTTCCCAGTTCTACTGAAGCAGCATTCTGATTGGTCAGGAGGTAATAAAGCGCTTGATGTCATTCTGCACTTTTCTGCAAAGTAGAACATTCCACAGAAACTCCACTGTGACTGGAAAACGCACACCTTCCCATAGGTTTACGTGCAAAGTGCCTAGTACTTTGGGTGAAAGCAGCCTTAGCCCTTCATTATAAGTAAAAAGGTTACTGTTGTTATCAGGGAACCATTTTGAAATTCATGTCCATAATAATAACACATATACTGTAGCTGCAGTAGATGGAGTATTTCGTTAAGGGCTAAGAATTGGTTCTCTAGCAGTTCTGGGATTTAGCACAAAACATCAGCCGTCAGGCTGTAAGTCACTACTCCAAGTGCTATCTCAGGATTGTTAATTTCTCTGCCATGTGCTAATTTTTCATGGATGCATGAAAAGCCTGAAATCTGAGCAACCATGCTGTCTCAGTGTTTACACTTCTCTCGCGCATTAACACAGCTGAAATATGTCATGCTGTGGATGAAGGACTGTTTACTCAGGGGCCTGTGTTAATAACCACAAATGTGTAGCCTTGGGACGCATGTTTGGAGGAGCTGAAAGCAAGAGATTAGGACCAGGGGGTCTCAGTGCGGTGAGACCCGGTCTTATCGCCAAACAGGAAAAAGTTGTGTATTTCATGCAGGAAGTGATGTAGCTGAAACAGCTCACTAATCCACTGAACCTGAACGACCTGAGATGAAATGATGTGGTTCAGCGTTATCCATGTGGCCTCTGTCCATAATTCTATCCCGAGACTATGTTAATTGGTTGTAGATCTGATTTTGCACTTTCCTGTTATTAACTTTCCCAGTTTTTTTCTGCAGGTTGACCATCTTCACTACATTTCAGTAAACACACACAAAAAAGGAAGTAGTAAGACTGAAATCTGTCCCTGTGTTTTTGGAGGAATTGCTTTAGCAGATGGATGTTATGACTGATATGCATTTTTTTTCTTAACACACCAGGGACCTGTGCTTCATGCTTATGTCATGGTTCCACATCTTGAACATGCAGTATTTTTTTTTTCTTGCCTACATAACTGTTGAACAGCGCACCACTGATTGTGAATCTCCTCAGCTTACAGAAAGTCTCTGAGTGGGTGTGGAGGTTTCAGGTCCGTTTATGTTGCCTTCATTTGTTTTTCATCTTGATATGAAAATGGGAAAACAAGGAAACGGCTTTTTATGGTGTTTTCGTTTTTCTTGAAACACACTAGAACGAGAAATGAATTCATATTTCATAATTAAATAAACAAATTAAAAAATTAAATATTGAGTTTTTTTTTTTTTAGTTATTTCTACCATAGTTTAGAAATCAAATATTTATGAATCCAAATATGAAAAAATGCCCACTGCAATATACTTCAGTGTGGAAATACAAGTAGGCTATTCTACAGGCTGTTCTGTGGTTATGATGTGTTATGACGTTTTTCATAAAAGGTATGATAAAATAGGATCAGCATATGCAGAAATAAATTTTGGGTGATTAAAATGTTCTTAAATTGCACCGTCTGGAAAGCCCTGCTGATATTTCAGCTGACGTGTCACCCTCGTTTACTGTCTTGTTATGTTTAAAAGCATGTAGTGATTTACATATTTATAAACTGTTTTAAACATCTTGGTAGCATATCATTTTTTTCCCCTTTGAAACAAAAAATTAATGAACACAAAATACACTGGAAAATGGCAGATTTTATACACTCACCATCCATTTTATTAGGAACACCTGTACTCCTGCACATTCATGCAGTTATCTAATCAGCCAATCATGTGGCAGCAGTGCAGTATAAAATATCATGCAGATACAGCTCAAGAGCTTCAGTTAAAGTTCACATCAAACATCAGCATGAAACGAAAGTGTGATCTCTGTGACTTTAACCGTGGCATGCTTGTTGGTACCAGATGGGCTGGTCTGAGTATTTCAGAACCTGCTGATCTCCTGGGATTTTCACACACAGCAGTCTCTAGAGTTTACATGCAATGGTGCGAAAAACAAAAAAACATCCTGTGAGCAGAGGGTCTGCAGGATGAAACACCTTGTTGATGAGAGAGATCGGGTTCAATGTTTTGTGCCTACTGAGATGCTTTTCTGCTCACCACGGTTGTAAAGAGTGATTATATGAGTTACTATATCCTTCCTGGCGGCTCTTTATCTCGGACCTCTCTTGTCAACAAGGCGTTTCTACCCACAGAACTGTCGCTCACTCTGTGTTTTTTTGTTTTTCGCACCGTTCTGTGTAAACTCTAGAGACTGTCGTGTGTAAAAATCCCAGGAGGTCAGCCTTTCTGGTACCACGATCAAAGTAGTTCCTAATAAAGTGAACGGTGAGTATATACTCAGAGCAACACAGGAAAACTAAACAAGCTTTACAGAACTCAAACCCCCAAATGATAACATAAAATCTATCTGCTTCGAGAAAAAATATGCGTTGCTGTTTTTTAAATATACAGTTGCATATTTTTACTTAATGTCTTACTAGCAGTATTATTATGGTATGGTTATGGTGTTTGTATGTTAGAGTGTTATGTTAGCACCAATTTTCCCATAACCTCTGGTGTCCTGTAACATCTGGTATAAATATGCACTAAAACACTGACGAATTGGTGTATTAAAGTGTAAATAAAAATTAGGACAGAAATTAGTACATACATTGCTTTGCTGTATAAGTTGTACATGTAATAGATGAATAATTAAAATTTCTCTTTTCTCACAGCTCAGTCATTAAAGGAATTCTCTCAGCTATTAAACACAGTTGAAGAGGAACGACGACGACTTGTAAGTAAATTTCCTTGCTTGAAATGGATGACTTAAGTACAGAAGGTGCAGTGGGTATTATAAATAAGGATAAATGTGATCTATATATGTATGTACAATCAGTGTACAGTGGTGAAGACATGTTAAGAATATGATAAGAATGTGAACAGGATATAAAAATGAATATATACATACATACATACATACATACATATACATATACATATACTGTACATACATATGTACATATATATATATATATATATATATATATATATATATATATGCACACACACATATATGCATGTATGTAGGTACAGTAGTGCAAAAGACCGCATTATTATTTATGTAGTGCAAAGAAGCAAGGTGAATAAAGAGTGAAGTAAGTAGTTGAAAACAGATATTACAGTTACAACTAAATTAGACCCTCAGATGATATTTTGTCATGTGTTGTCATTTCAACATTAGCTTTTTTTAATCTCTCATTTCTTAAAGCATGTATTGTGCATTATTTTCGAATTTGGCACTAAAGTATAGCTCTTGTGCCTCAGGGAAAAACTGTGAACTATTCTAGCAAGTGCAGGAGAGTTATGGGAAACACGCTTTGGTCAAACAGATGCTTGCTTTGGGTCATGACTCTTTTTTGGACAGAGGGGAAACTGCACGTATCAGCAAGCTGCCACTGTGCTTTTTCTTCTTGGAATGTCTTGGAATTTTTCACTTATTTTTTTCCCCAGCCTATCAAAACAAAAAAAGGTGGCCCAAGTAGGTTAGTGTGACATCAATTACAGTACTATTGCTGTTGCTATTACATAAACCAAGAAGTGTGTGTAAGAACAAGTAAGGTTAGCTATTTTGACGTGAGGGACGAGAGCCATTGCTACATGTTTCTATTTCGAACATCTGTCATACCCATGATTCATGCATACATACTGTAAGATGGCTCTTGGTAATGACTAATACTGTGCATCAGTCCAGACAAAAGCTTATGTTTGCGTTGTCTATAAGCCTTAGTTTGAGGGAAAAATCCAGTCACTTGAACAGCCCCATTTGTCATTCAGCTATGACTTTTTTTTTTTTTTTTTTTTTTGAGCTGGTAATGGAAGTCGTTTCACTTAAACACAAAATCCTTTCCGTAAATGTGTTTCTCGGTCCCTATCCATATATTCAGTGATGTCACAGACTCGTCTGTGTTTACAGTTTAACCATAGCATTTATGAAACTTGACCCCTAGCTACCTACACTTTTCTACTTTCTCAGATAAAGCAGTGGTCAGAGCATGTGCAAATAAAATTCCCCTCACAGACTTAATTCACTGAAAGGACGCGAAAGATGCAGATTTGCTTCTGGTAGCGGTTACTTTCGCTTCATGTCCTCCTTGATCCGTAAAATCAATCTTGTGAGCCAGCAGGAATCAAAATGGGTCTCTTTTGGTGAAGAAAAAACACAGAGCTGCTTGCAGTTAAGTAGCATTCACAATGAACTACCATTGCTTGAAACACATTGTCTCATAAAGTAACAAGCGTTAGGGGTTTTGTGGTAAAGTTTTGTTGTTTTTTTCCCACGCTCTCTGCGTGATAGTATCTTCTTGTTAACAATGTTGTCACCTCTTCTGCTGTGGTTTAGGACATCCTGTAATAAATATGAATATGAGTATGTACTAAATGTTATGGGGCGGCCATTTTTGTCACCAGAAAATGAACTTGAATTTGTAAATACATTGTA